ATGAAATTTAAAAGTTTGTGCACAGCACACGAACACATCTACCATAGTTTTGTCTTCACTGAAAATAGGGAATAGAAACTTTAGTTCAAAATGGAGGATTCTAGGGGTGGATGGGATACTTCGGTAGGTCTTTCTGTCAGTGGTGCTGATGGTCACTTGTCTATCCTTGAGGTATGCCAAAGTGTCGCTACTCTTATGTGGGGTACGGCTGTCCTGGTTCTGTTCTTCATATCTGAGGAACCGATGTAGAGCTCTCCTGCAAACATTCTGCTACATCTTTTGACCAGCAACGCCTTGGCCGATTCTGCATCGAGTTTTTTGTATTTGCTGGGTGACATTCCTATTATTGAGAGCGTAGCCTCGTGGTCCAGTATGGCATCAATACTATCAGCTCCTTGCTTGCATTTGACCTCCAACTCATAGTGCAGCCTAGTCATAAGTATAAGTTCAGAAACTTGTTAGCTTATTCATAGATAGATTGATTTGCATGAGATGTAATTGTCATATTGAAATAGAAAACTTACTCTGGCCAGTCCTCAGTCGCTTGACATATGGCTTTTCGAAATTTCATGTGTGAGATGAAGAACTTAGCACGATAGAGTACCTAGCATGAACATCAGATATTGATAAGACATAGGTCTACGAAAAATGTAGGTGCACAGTATAGGAATTTGGTCTATGTTTTGTCCCTCACTAACCTTGTGGGCAGTCTGATCAGATGCAAACATTGTTTCCATGTCAGAGAGGTCTTCTTTTCGATTCCTGATCGAAGGCAGCCTGTTTTCTTACTGGTATTGGCATCCATGTAATAAACTTGCCTGCGACTATAAAGGAATCTGGTTGTAGCAAAAAAGAGACAAAATTGTTAATTTAATTTGTTTTGGTCGACTGGCAAAAAATATGATTCAAAAAATGGAAAGGATTCTGTCAAACTAAATGTACATGTGCATTATCTCCTGGACTGGGACTGTATAAGATCTGATTATGAGTGCACTGGCAGGAGTGGATTCAAACCGATACTTGTATTTCTGGTCGGATAGAGGTGCCACCCGAATGACAGACTTGATCGTAACAATCAGAGGCAGATGAGCCTCAGCTGTCGGGGCGTTCTCTAAGAACTTCGCTATATCATATCCACGATACCGAACAGTTGCCTTAGCGCCACTGTCAATGACACGAATATGTGAGGTTGTTTATTCATACAATTCGCAGATCGAGATTCTATTCTACAAAATGTACCTCACATCCTGTACGACCATGTGAAATTCTTTGAGAGTACTGCGAATTGTTGTGGGAACACTGAGACGCCTAATGCATACGGTGATGTCTATAAGCAACATAAGAGTTTGTCATTTAAAAGCTTAAGTTCATTTTACTATATCAAATAGATATAGCTAATGTACCTGTATGATAGTCGATGATGTTTGTCTGAAGTGGTACCATCGAAAAAGCCATCCCAATGTCCCAGCCAACAGGCAAGCGTGGCTCATCTGGGTCCTCCTCAATCCTGGAAATTTTTTGATCAACGGTTATGTGCACTCTTAACTCTCCTGCAACGATCTTTGGATTCTCTCTTGCTGGTATTGCTTCAACCGAATCAAATCGATAAAGGTTCCTGACCTTTATCTTGCGAGAAATCTCGGCGATGTCTTTTTCATCAACCATTGACTCGATCAGTCGTGCCTATAAGATAAACAGTTAACCGGTTCTAAATTGTGTATTATAGTAGTTTAAAATTGTTTATGAAGAGATTATCTAATTCTGTAACTGAAATGAAAACAAACCTTTTTATCTATCCAGATCATGTGCATGCTAAGATCTTTAAGCTTAGGCGCCTCTCGATACTCGAGCCATGCCATCACAGGCCTAGCAATTACTATGAGAACGTTGGTGCCCAAGCGCAACCTCGAAATGGCATGCAAGTTTCGATCGGATCTATAATAAGACAGTATAGGGAAATGAAATACATATTTTATCTTTGTAGCAGAGGATTCGAGATACCTGGGAGTATTCTTTAACAAAAACGAAAGGCATTCACCTTTGTTGTCGGTGGGGACCATGTGAGCGTCCTCTGTTGACTGCTGGTTTTTGGCCAAACCCTCCATGTTTGGTGGGGTCTTTATGCAAACAATGTGGATGATGATCAGAAGTTAATTCCCAAGTGTGAAGACGGTGAGGAAGAGGAGGACGTGGAGTTACCTTTGTTTTAAAGGCTGTCGTGTAGTTCGGTGGTGGGGCTTCCGCGGCGGAGCAAAGCATATGGAAATATGGACGGCGGATCTGGTTGATGAAGACAGTTAGGGTTTTAAAAGGAAGTGTTGATTTTGGGCCAGTTTCCCATGGGCTTTTGTCTGCAATCCTAAAGCATCTTCGGGTTGGGCTCAATACCATTCCATCACTGTCAAAACGTAAGAAAACGGGGCCTCGGTTTTGGTAGGCGTTTAAGGCCGAAGCCACTTGGGTCATAATATATCCAATGTATTAGTATGGACTCAAAAATTTTAATGGGCCTGAAATGTTTGCGATTATTGAGAGTTAACAAACTATTTGGTCCACTACTATTCAGCCGATGATATTTCTTGACTTAGAGCAAAATGATTATGCAATCCTGAAAAACTAATTCTAAAAAACAGAGACGGATACATTTATCTACTATTTGGATTGACATGGTTGCATCAGGGCATTGCTCTAATCCTAGCAAAATGGGCCGTATTTGAGGCATGGCATTGACCTCTGTGGATTGACATGCCTGCATCAGGGTATTACTGCAATCCTACAAAACACATAGTTTTTATTAGGAACATTTGCAGGCAGAAGTATCGAATAACTTGTTTAATTTAACGAACTCACCTGATATATGGTTCAGGTGTTCATAATATCAGCAAAGGCTTCAGTGAAGACTATGTTCCTTGTATAATCGTAAGGTATTTCTGCTGGGTTTTGTATAAGAATCCTCAAACCTTTCGCTGATTTTACTCTCGAAACCCCCACATATAGCTGCCCGTGGCTGAATACGGGTTCAGGCAAATAAATCCCAACTTTTTCAAGTGTTTGCCCTTGGCTCTTGTTTATAGTCATTGCGTAACATAACCGTACTGGGAACTGCCTCCTCCTGAGTATGAAGGGCCACTTGGAGTTCTCTATATTGAGCACTATTCTTGGTATAATGACTTCGTCAGCGTCATAAGAACCGCCCATAATGTTGCCTTTTATGAAATTATCCCCTAATGTTGTGATCATGATCCTTGTGCCGTTGCACAAACCAAGGGCAGGGTTTAAGTTACGCAGCAGCATGACTGGCGTGCATACCTTTAACATAAGCTCGTGGTCTGGAACTCCATTGAACGTGAGAGTATTGAGGAACTCTGTCGGATAGCTTTCGTCAAACGAATCTGCTGTTTCTGTTGATAACTGCAGTGAATCTGAACTATAATATATTTTTATGTTACCTGGTACCCTTTGCAGCATATAGTCATTGATTCTAGAGACTGTCGCATTCGTTGGCGTCACTATTGCTCTGTTGGTCAGGTATGCTGGATCCCTGTGATTGTCAGGAAACAAATCATATATATCATCTGCGATTGATTTAACAGTGTCATCCCCGGGATCAATTAGGAACAATGATGGTATTTTTATCCAATCTGATTCCCCATCTTCTCTGAACGATCTTGCTCTAATTCTCCCATCTCCTAAGGCAAGGACCCATTCTGGAAACGTGTATCCATGCATTAGCTGTTGGTCAGCAGAGTGGACAGCTGTTATGCGCATGTTCGTTGATAGGCACATCACTTTAAAAGTATTCCATAGTTTGGACCTAGTTAATGAGCCATCAATCGTCTGTTCACATCCAGCATCAGTTATAACTGGGAGTGTTTGGCGAAAATCTCCACCAAAGAGAACTATCTTCCCTCCGAATGGTTTATAGTGATGTCCATTCAGTGGAACATTCAATATGTCGCACAAACTGCGATCTACTGCCTCGAAAGCCTGCCGATGGGTCATTGGTGCTTCGTCCCAAATGATTAAGGATGCTTCTTTTAACAGATCAGCTAAATCTGTTCCGTGTTTAATAGGGCATGTCGATGTTGCATCTAGAATCAGTGGAATTTTGAATCTTGAATGTGCAGTGGTCGCTTTGGGAAGTAGTGTTGCTGCTATTCCCGATGATGCAACCAGTACAACTATCTTCCCCAAACTCCTGAGCCTTGCTGTAATGACATTATAGAGGTACATTTTGCCAGTACATCCGTGACCATACAGGAAGAATGCCCGACCCATCCTGTTGAGGACTGAACTGATGACAAATGTATATACATTAGTTTGCTCAGGATTCAATGAGTGAAGCATAGAGGTTGCTAGTGCATGCTGCTGGTTAGTATCAAAGGCCAAATGCTCGTTAATGAGTGAATTCTCTCCATCTTCATGTCGACCATCAGTTGGGGTTGGGAGATTGAAGTCCTCAAGCGTCATTGAATGAGAGCTCAACATAGCCTGCAATTCATGGAGTACCCAGTTTTGTAGTCGTTCATCACTGGGCTTCTGAGTTTGATCTCTAAGATCTTTCGTTAGCCTATACGCGTAATCTTCAGCCATTGATTTCCATGACGAATTGAGTAAAGCTATAGGACTTGGAACTTCGCAAAACATGAGCATTGACACGAAAGTGCTCCGTATCACCCGTGGCATGCTGGAAGTAGAAATATCGGACAGAACACGTATCCATTCTGAAGTATCTGATAATAGACCCAACTTTTCAAAAGCTTTTTCAAAATCTGGACAAAGTTCTCCATTGACAGTTCTGAGATGAGCATAACTGAGAGCGCCACGGACTTTTGTGAGCATCATTCGGAGGAAAAATACATCGCCAGAACCTGGTGGAACATATGCAACCCTCCCTATCGCAAATCCCTTTTTGCGAGGGTTCCATTCTTTACAATCAGGAAGCCAGAACCTGGTCGGCAGTCTATGTACTGTTGGATTTCATCTATGTGCCTCCCAGATTACATTTCTGGATTATTTTGCGATGCATTAGCGTTTTCAACAATTACCAGTGATCTGTCTGGTCCTTTTGTCACATATTTCAAGAGATACTTGATAAGTTTACCTTTGTGACATACCTCGACATTTATATGAGCCTGCATTCTGACCAGCAAATTCCTGTTGTATGGAACAACATGTCGATTGTCAAGTGTCATACTTCCCTTTTGTACCTCGACGCCAGTGTTTGATCTTCTATAGACTACATTTCCAAACTTGTCAAATGTTGTGGCTGAGTTGAAATCCTTTGGGAATTGTTTGGAACATTTACCATTCGCGCGTTTTTTCTTGTCTCGCATGCACGGTGCATTGGAATTTGCTTCACCACATGGGCCATGCAGAATGAATTTACAGACTGCTTCGTATCCAACCGGATCTTGTTGAGGGTCTGGAATTTCAGCTGAGATTACCTCATCGATATATTCTTTCGTCCTCAATTTATTCTCTTCAGACAACCAAACCAGCAGATGTATGTGGGGCAAACCCTTTTTCTGAAACTCCACTGTATACATAACTGTCACAGAGTAAACAAAGTGAGAATTAAAAATATCCAAACATATGTTTTGGAAAGCACTGAACTTGCGGATCTTGAATATTGATATAAAATGAGTAACCTATACTTACTTGCAATTGTTTTTCCAAAGTAGTAGTTTTTCTTAATGTCATCTATGAGAGTACTCAGCTTAATGTGGAAGACCCTTGAAACCACCATCGGTTTATCTGAGCTATTTGGACCAACAACATCACGAAAGGCCTCGGTGATTTCTTCCCACAAAGAATTACAGGTGAATGTGATGAATAAATCAGGATTTCCAAAGAATTCGACCACTGCCATGGCATCATGATATAGTTGTTGCATATACCTCGGGCTACCTATATAGGTACCTGGGAGTACAATATGGCCCATTTTATCTCCGTCAAGATCACCCCATGCCATCACATCCTGTAGTCCTTGATAAACCTCGGCTCTGAGCTGTGGCTGATGATAGCGCAAAAAAGCTACCCTGTTTAGTTCAATCGATGAGTAGGCGTCAATACAAAAATGCTGAAGAGCTTTTCCAGCCTGAAAAATCGTGTGACCTTCGCCATTGCGATATTGAAGCCTGAATGCATAATACTCGCGCTGAGTAACAAACTGCCTCCGCATAGAAGGCGGGCAGAAAGCTTACCTGTATTTGATGAGTGGATGGTAACCATCCTCTCCATATGGAAATAGAAGTGGGAAATGTAACGCATCAAATTTTGGATTGAGACTCGTAATCCTCTTCAAACCCTCAGACATGATCAACTATTATATCGCGATCATCTCTGTCTGGCACGAAATCACCTGGTATAAGCGCTGCAACTTCAGTGCTGCTTGGCAAATCATATTGCCGATTCCTGCTCTTCGCTCCAAATATTCGTAGCTTTAAATTCGTTGTCAAAGAATCCTGAAGCTGCTGCCGAACTCGCCTGAACGTTTTGACGAGCTGATTATGTTGATCCAGCATTTGGAGCAATGAAGTGAGCAGCTCTGGCATAAGTAGACCATCACGGGATGCGAAGTTCGCCAAGCGATTGTCGATTTCATTCTCCGGTTCAAAAATATAAAGCTGGGCAAACTTTGGTTTTTCACCATCAGGAGGCAACAATGAACCAATCCTATGATAGTTTTCTCCACATATAACCATCGAATACGGCCCCCTACCAGAAAGGGAGCGAGGGTCAATAGAAGCACCAAATGATGTAAAACACAATGAACCATTATATGGTCTGATGTTATCTCTGAAATGCTTAGACATAGCGCCACCATCAAACTGCAGAAGCTCAGCCAGCAACCGCGGAGGTTGGGCTATATATGGCAAACCAACACGACCTTTCTGACAGCAAAGTCCATAGATAGGATCAGTTGTTGCTCGGTGGCAATCAAGCCTCTCCAAATCCCAAAACAAAGCACCACAGAACTTGCAGACACATTTTGGTTGACCTATGTTCAGAATATCATCATGGAGTGGCTTTCTAGCCATGGGAATGGACCTAGAACAGGATGGGGTCCCAGTTGAGTTCTGCAACCGGCAACTACCAGTTTTCCGCTGTTCAGCTTGGTGCACTTGATTGCTATTCTCGCGACACTCAGCTACCACATTGGATTCCCCCTATTCCAGAGAAGAAATATGGCTCGTTGGATTCTTAGAGGCCAACTGTTTCAAAGTCTTGTAGCGCGATTTCCTTGGCCTTGAAGATTCTGATAAGTGCAATGCACACAAAAGAGAACTTTACAATAAAGCTTTTATATCATCAAAGATTGATAATGCTTGATGGCTTCATGAGAATCTTATAATTCAAATAACAATGGTATGGTGGCGGTCCGTTCATCACCTGATGATGATGGCAGGACTCGATGAAGAGACCGTGATGATTCCTGTATATCATTCTCAGGCACAGTCTCAGGAACCACTGAACCCTGCGATGGATGTTCCATAATTTCAATTCTGGCTCTTTTACGTGCCAGAGTTTGATACTGAGTCTTTCTTTTCTTGGGAGGCATTACTACAAAGGGAAAAAAGAAATCAAATATGGCCAGAATCATTACTGTTGGGATGTACGAATAGTATAATCCAGACAACAATATATGAATCCAATGCTTTTAGCGAGGAAGAGTTAAAGGAAGATCACAGAAATCATCCTCACTCATTCATCAGACTCATCAATGAGAATGTCAGACAAAAATGCAGGTTACCTTTGTTCTATTTAGCCCATCAAACAAAGGATATAAATGAACAGATGACAGATGAAATATGATGAAGTAAAGGTAGTTCCTGGAGAAAGTGACACAATCCATTGAGGAAGAAGATGTATACTAATATGAAATAGTTATCATAGATATGTGAGCCATGTATGATCCTTATAATATCATTATAGTTTGGAAATATTTAACATGCTGTTGGATTAATAAAATGATGGAAAGCTATCAACTTAGTTTAATCTTTCGCACAAAAAGAGGCTGCGTTATAATAAGTAAGAAATATCAAGAGGTCTAAGAAAGATAAGAAAGATGTTCTCATAATATTGATCATATTATAAATTGGAACAAACGTTTCGTTCGTTTGAAACATGCGTAGTTAGTTCGAACTTATACAAAGTGTTAGCAAATTGCAATTCAACAGTTGTGGATACAGTCTATAGGCTCCGCAAAAATGACAGTGCCTCTATCCGAACTGCTCAGGAGACATTGACATAAACTCCCCTTCCTCCTTCCGTCAACGGTGAACGTATTCTAAGGGAAGAATGACTAGATATACTACGGATAACAGAAACACGACCTTGCTCATATCAGCACTAAACAACATTAAATGAAGGCAATCACTGCTAGGCAGCAGCCTTATGAAAATCAAAATGCACAGAGGCACCGTGTAAACATCAACAATGTATGAGCTAACACTAACTGATTACGTGCTGGTCACCCAACAAAAGATAGAAGGCTATATAAACCAAGTGCACAGGAGCAGTGTATCTCCTGATAATATCCACACTGATGCAACTATTACATTCTTGGAACCCAAGATCCAAAATGAGAATATCCATGCAACCACAAGCATTGCATTCCCGAAACCTAGATATCCAAAATATGATTGTCTAAACAAGGAGAATAACTTGCATAAACTAAACAAAATATGTCATCTCCTTGAAAGTCAGGAACCAGCATTTCTGGGAACGTCATCAACCACGCAGAGAAGACTCGGACCCATGAATGAAAATTTCAGTCCAAAACATATCTACTTCCTGCAATGAAATAAACAGCAAAAGAATAAGATACATAGCAGCCACAGGATCCTAACCGCAAATGAAACATGGCAGAAAATCAAGACAAACAAAGAAAATTATAAAAGACCTTGACGCTATTATCACCTCTTGAACAGAGGACGTTTCGCAGCTGGGTTCTTCTGACTGTCAACTGGGGAATCCTCTTCCATCTCAGCACCTGCCTGTGAGGAACCGCCGTGTGGTAGAGGAGGAGCCTCAGCATTGCCTAACTTCTCCACCTTTATCTTGGCGAGTGGAGAAACCAACCTTGAACCAAACACACCTCTCAGGAATGAATATCGTGAGAAGAACATAGAAACTTTTAAAAATACTTAACTAACTTGTGAACACCTACAATGACGCAGGCGAAGAGCCAGAGGCTAAACCAGAGGTCTTCCCAGGAGATGACTCAGGGGATGGCTTCAGAATCTTTGCAGCAGGTATCAACGGACCACGACTAACATCCTCAGGGCTGGCAGACTCATCGATTCCAGATGTACGCTTGGCAATCGGCGAAAAAGTAGACCTGCCAGATGGTGTAGAGGACTGGGCCAAAGAAGAAATGGGTACAGGCACAACAGCTGGGCTAGAGCCAGCCTGTACACTAATCCCCGAAGGATGAGATCCCCCGAGACTCCTGGGGCCGGCAACAATACCCTTGCTTTCGATACTTGCAGGAGAAGGAATATGTAAATTCTCGGCTATCGGACTAGGGAAAAAATGGCAAATAACTTAGGACACATTCTCCAACAATTCCATTAATGACCAGAATAAGTATCGCTAGAAATGTGAATACCTGTCAGCCTCATCTGGCCCTTCAGTGATGCTAAACGGAGCTGCTGAAACCTCAGTGAGTAGAGGACCTAAAACCTTTTCCTTTCCCTTGGAAACCCTTCAGAACATAAGCAGACAGTCCATAAGGCATAGCTGACAAACCAGAGAACATAAACAGCAAAACAAAATAGCCAACACCAACCTAGATGAACCCGAAGAACCACCCGCGACACTTGCTGCACCCATGGTCAAAGTCGGAACAGCAGCAACAGAACCACGTAATGGTGATTGCGAAGAAAACTCGAGCAAATCGCCAACCACCGTAGGATCATCAAGCGGGACAACCTGAGTTACACGGAACTCACCCGAGGAGAAGCCAGTAGGACCAGGTAATGGTAACTTACAATCAAACTTGACATACTGTCCTCGCAATTGATGCAACTGTGGCGGCAACTGACTAGGACGATGAGGAAACCGCTGGGCCAGATGTGCAGCAGAAACATTAACCAACAAATGGGCACAGCCACCCATCAGAATGAACCGAGCCTCGCAAGAGTCATCCCTCAAAGTAAGTTGGAGCTCATAACTGAGTAAAAAAAGACGTTAGCAAAAAAACCTGAAACAGCCAAGAGATCTACGCAAATAATAAGCAGACATACTTGACCCGAGTTTGCTCCTCTTCTAGCGGCCAGTCTTTTGGACACCAAAACGTATTGTCTCGACGCTTTGAAACTGCTCGCGAGCATAGCTTGCACAAAATGTAATACCAAGGAGCACCAGACTCGATATCAACGATCACTCCACCACAACGATACTTCTCTTCCTAGCAAAGCAAAGAAAACTCATTCATTCCCAAGGGAAAAAAGACGAACATTAAACTTTTCAAAAAGAGTAGCAACAAACCAGAGAGGAATTCGTTCGAGACAAGCTCAGCAACTGGTCCAGGCTCTTGGTACGCCGGTCTGCATCAGCAGCAGCATCAGCAACAGAGGCAAATTCCACTAGCAAGGACTCAACAACTTCGTGCTTTTCAGCAAACCTAAAACAAACATAAGCAACATAAACTTAACTATATTGTCACTTCTGCATAAAACGAACACCCAAACAGACCACGCAAAATCAGCGATGGCCATAACCAACTCACCTAGATGCAAGATAGTAAGCCTTTGGTACAGAAGGGTTGACTGCTATGCGTGTACCAGCGGAGCTCGAGAGAATATAATCATCTGGAACAGAAAACAGAAGAAATAGAAAAATCAGCAGGCATCAACATTCCTTGAATAATCCCGATAAAGATACATGCACTCCAGGGGAATAAACACACCTCCCAACTTATTAACCAGCAAACCACCGAAAGCGAGAATCACAGCCTCAATCGAGTCAGCCTGAGTAAGTGCAACATGGTCCAACACCGCAGAAAACTCATCCCAGAGTGTAATAGTAATCTTCGCTCCATTGGGAAGAAAAAAACATGGGAATACGTGAGGAACAACACAAAAGAAACTAAAACCATACAGATAAACTCAAGAACCGTAGAAAAGCGAGAGAACCTTTCATCCTCGATAATAACCGTCTGCTTGACTGCAGGACCATTATTAGTGATTTTATGCGATATCCCACTGATCGAATGGAGTCGGCCAACGACATCTACGAAAACAAAATGAAGTCAAAACATCAAAACACAATAAAAAAGCATTCACATATACACAAACACATGCATATCAATAAGGAGCCAACACAAAAATACACACTAACCTGTCAAGAAACGGTGATTACCAGCACGCAAACTCAACTGGGAGAAAGACACAAACTCATACGCATCAACCGGAAAACTCTCAGCAGGAAGACTACAGGCCTGAAAGGAAGTCGAGGGCGAGAGACCCAAAGCCAAATCAAAGGAACATGGGCGATACTGATTCGGCGGGTTGCTCAAACCAAAGGACTTTACAACATAAATCTTCCCAACAGAAAGGTTACGACGGATCCCAGCAGCCATTGAAGTCGGCGAAACACCGTGAATCAGCGTCCCCTGCACAGAACACACCACGGTGATTGAGAAACAAATAACATAGCGGCAACGACAGAACAAAAAATGAAAATATCGCCGCATAGGAGCAGAGAGCGCACCGTTTCATCGGTCCAAAGAGTACAGTAATTGTAAATCCTAATATCCCCCAGAGACTTCGACGCCCACACATGCAGCAACCGAAGACGTAAAGAAACGCTAGCATTGTGAGGGCCGCCGAGGTTGCAAAGCAACGTGAACTCCATATTCTCCGAGATGAAGAGAACCGAAAAGAACAGCAACAACGTTTAGAAAGAGAGTAGAATGACGGGGAGATACCAGAGCGGAATGATGAGCTGCTGCCACTAAACTAAAAAAAAACATATAAATTAGAGGAAGGATTAGAAGGGGTAAGGGCGGCTGGTGTCAGTTATCGGCCCAATAGTAACGTAAAGAAACCGAAACAGCGGTCCGCCGAAGAGATAAGCACGACGTCAAATAGAGGAACCGCCAGTGAGGGAGAACACAAAGAAGCGGGAAAAAAATTCAGCATGCAAAACCGGCGGGTTTCAGATATCTAGGCAGTCCTAGACAGGTTTGCTCTCCACAAAGGCCCATCATTACCATCAATTCCGAAAACCAAACATCAACACGCAAGGCGAGAGAGCGGAAACAACAAATGCAATGATTATGACAAAGACCGGCGAGGAATAGCCGAGAAACACAATAAAAAAAAGCGAAGAGGGAATTAGGGCGCAGCTGAGAGCAACGCGTATCTCAGAGAGACCACCGCAGCCAAAACCGCAACCAATTAAGAAATACCAAGCGGGACCAACTGCAGAGCAATGACCAATCAAATTGAGGTGAACAGTAAAATTGAGTCTAAATGAATAGTAATTCCGTGTCTAGGCGAACAGTCTATCATGTCTTTGCAAATAACTTTTTTCGATGTCACTAAAACAATTATTATATGCCTCTAAAACAATCATTATTTTTAATAAAATGTTAATTTAATCATAATATTATTTTTAGCGGCAAATTTTGAATAACTGTCGTCTAGCTTTTATCTTCATATCTATGTGAAAATAAAATTATTTTTTATTTCATAATATTATAAATTTTGGACACAACTAATTATTTGTTGCTAATAAAAGGATCGTTAAAGTCTAAAAGAAAAGCTACTTATTATTATTTTTCCGATGATCCTTTATTATCTATAGTTACAAATTTCGAAATGTTGTTGTGACATATTATACAGTTTTGACAAATGATTTTGTTATAATAATTTGTCATAATATCTAATATGGGGTTCTTGTATCGAAATGGTTTTTGTCAAAATAATTAGTCATGATAGACCATTATTGTTGTTTTTATATTATAATTAGGAATAATATGTATATTTTGTGACGAAACCATTTTGTCATAATCTAACACGCTAATTTTGTCACCATATCCGAAAATTATGATAAATAACACAATTGTCCCGAATATTGAAGGCAACATAGAATATTCAATAATCTCAGTCATAATCCTTAAATAACAATCTTTCAAAGCAACATGACATTCTACTCCTCATATTGCCTCCATTCGTTCCATTTTGAAGGACAACCCAACAACAAGTTCATCTAAAAAGAAATTTCTACAGACAACCAAAAGTTTTAACAAACCATGACGTATCTGCTCCCTGTTATTACTCATGCATCTAGCTTTCTCCAACGTCCTTCACTTTAACCTGGACAAGTTGGACTAGTTGTGTGGCACACTAGGAGCTGAACCAAAGAAATTTACGAGCATTCTTAGGAACCTTGAGAAGCATTTGCACAAACAAATACAACTCTACCGAGAGCTTCGACAAAGAGTGTATTCATAACACAATCAAAAAATATATTTATTGTACATTAGTGAAGGGAGCTCACCTAAATGTTCATAGTGTTAGGAAATTCTATTTCTTAATGGTATGGGGCCACATATTTTACAATTATTATGAGTTATTTGGTTATGTGGGCTAATTGAAAACTATCCAATTAAGAGCCCGAAGACATCTTGCATTGATATGGGCCTAAATGAGTGGAAACCCAATAGTTATACACCTTCGGTTTTATGGGGGCCCATGATGTGTAGCAGCCAGTTTCGGCTAAAATCGTATTACTGTCGCTAGAAAAATTATGCGATTAAAATCGAGGGTTTTGATAGTATTTTGACGAAAATCGGATTATCGATCGATCAAATAAGTATAACTATTAATTATATATATATTATATATAATAAATAAAAGAAAATATTGAAAAAGGACGGAAAGTAAAGGCGGGCAGGGGTTGGTCACAATCTCTCCGTCCCATTTCATTCCTTCTCCCATTTTCGGACCGAGAGCAACAAAGAAGCAAAGCGCGCACAAGTAAGCGTCTGTGGGAAATTTCAAAGCTCAAATTGAGCTCTAGTGATCCAAAAATCCCGCAAGAATTGCTTTATCCATCCATACATCATAGTTTATCGATTTAGAGCTTTAAAACGATTTTTTGATTCAGGAATTTGTTGAACTTCCGATAAGCTAAATTATGGTTTCGGAGTATCCGGAAGCCGGATTAAGCCCAGATTTCATATACGAGCTAACTGCAGCGAGGTAATTAATCCTCTGGTTCTAATCCATAAATTTCAGCTATTGTTTAGGTCGGAGTCGGGATCACTGAATTTAACTCCGGCTAGGGTTTGATGTGTTTTTATCAAGAATTTGATCCGGAGCTTAGTACTAACATTGACGGGGATACTGTAGGGGATATTAGGACAATCTCGGATTTTGATTCTGAGTTTGTTTGAGAAAAGTGAAGTTTAGTTCATGAGGCTAAAACCAGTGTTTGAACGACCAGAGCTGGTGAGGGATTAGCACGGCATACCGGGTTTGTCGTATCATTATAATTATACTGATGCTTAGAATTGACCTAGGTGAACTAGAATGGCATGATTAGGGGTGTATGAACTTTTGTGCTATATGATGAGCCCTGGACTACTGTATGATATTATTGACTTTCCCTAATCGAGATGGACCTTGTTTATGTTGATGATTTCGTATATGTTGCAAATTGTGGGCTTGACTGTTGATATGCCTTATGATGGTTCGAAAAGGTGATTGTGTATGATTTTTCATGATTGATGTATTTGGATGTACAAGTGGGAAAATATATATCCCATAGTGATATTTGGATGTTTTAGGAGGATGACCTGCATGAGGGTTTATCCCGAGGAAGTGCAATTATACGACTCCTGTTTTACCTATGTTGAGCCAATTCTGGTCAGGTCAAGTACATGTGCAAGTAAGGAATTATGATTAAGCAAGATGAGATATGAATCATGTATAAGGATACCAAATAAGAGTGATTTGGTCTCATAGTCAATTACATAGTAATTATGGCTCCCCATGCTATTACTCCGTTATGATATATTATGTCACACCCCTGACGTGGTGTTTACCGTTGATTCATCATGAGATATGACCAGGAGCCTATGACTACATCCACGAGATGTTTGGTCCGTATTCCCCGGAGAGTAATTAGCATGGGAGTAGCCAGGCGCCTATGATTAAAACATGATAAGATGCATATGCATAAGTCAAGGAGGTGGAGTCCTTTGCCTATTGGGATGTCGGATGGTTGAGGTCTGATCCTAGTGCTTTGGCTTGTTTGCTAGATTTATGGTAGGGGTATGCTCTGTTATGAACTCACGATGCTATGATTATCTCACTCAGCTATGAGCTGGCCCTCTTTTATCTTTTGTCTCTGCTTATGCCATGTGTAAGCAGATCATCATCAGCAACAACAATAGATAGGTGTATAGGTGGGAGCTGAGCAAGAGTTGAAGTCAAGATGAGGTATGGTCTTCAACTATTCTGTGCTTGGACGACTACTTGGGATTTTGGCCAGTGATCCACACCTTTTTGTAAAAATGTTTTGAGAACGTTTTTCATGTGCATACTAGCTTCTGATGTAGTGTGAGATATCCACAGGTGTGCAAAGTTGATGATATGTGTATATTTTTGTAATTGTGTAAGTTGTGACGATTATGGCATGTATCAGTATGGTATGCAGTTGTGTAGTATGAAACTGTGACTATGGTCTATAGCTATGAAAGCCCGTGTATATGGTTGTGAGTATATATGTTTGTCATTGAATGCATGGATTCAGATGATTATTTTGAAGGAATAGATGCAAGAACTGTTAGTCTATTACGCGAGTAATTCATGTCCAAATTTTATTTAGGTAAATTTTGGTAATAAATGTAACACCCGAGATTATTTCAGCTGCAAATGTATGAACAATATGATTAGGTAAAACGTATATGGTAGGGTGTTATAGTTTGGTATCAGAGCCTGGTTCCCTCTTTTTGTTGTTATGATGTACTATGCCCAATGGGAAGTTAAATACTTCAAAGGAGGGGAGTACCTCATAATGACTTAAACTGGGAATTGAGTTTTACATGATTATGTGTATTGGTATGTTGGATGAAATTACCCGCATCATGGTTTTCAAAATATAGTTTTGAACTTACTTGTTTTCAAGTAATTATTTTGGGAATTTTTTTTGTTTTAACCAAGTGAGAGATTTGGTGAAGAATGAATTTTGTGTGGATCAATCTAAGGCCAATATTTCCTTGTAGCTCACACGGAAGCTTTCATAATGTTTCTACTGACCAGTCGAGAGGAGTGGGGGTGGGTGATGCAAGACCACCGGTATTAGACTATGCAAAGATGAAGAGTTTGGGTGGTAGGGACTTCAAGGGAGATGTGAGTCTAGATGTTATAGTAACGTGGTTGAGAGAGATGGAAGATGTGTTTGAGTATCTTTATGTGACCCTAGAGGAAAAAGTACAATATGTTGTTTTTCTCCTAAAGGGGTACGCGAGGAGCTGGTGGTCCTCAGTCTCTAGAGTTAATGGTGAATGAGTTCAGTTCACTTGGGAGGAGTTCCTGAAGACCTTTAAGATAGAGTTTCTTCCCGAAGCTTTTATCAGGGCAAAGAATAATGAATTCGCCAACCTTCAACAGGAGAACATGACAGTTACTGAGTATAACATCAAGTTTGTTCGACTACTCTATTTTGAAGATGGGTTGGCGGATACAGAGCATAAGAAGAAGATGAGATACTTACATGGTCTGCGCCTAGGGTTGAAAGAAAAGATCCCAGGGTTGATGAAGAGAGCATGGCCACTATCAAGGAGGCAACACTTAAGTATGAAGCCTATGAAGTTGAGGGTAGAGAGGAACACAAGGCCAAAG